TTATTTCTGCCTGTAAAACTAACTATAATAGTGTTCATCTGATGCGCCTCTACCAGTCCCATTTGCTCCAATGAAGTGGAGTATTTCAAATTCAGCTATTGGCACTAACCATCTTTTCCACTCTTATTTGTCTAATGTGTAACCAGGAGGCAACTTCAGAATCCCACAAGGCCTGCTAGATCTCTAAGCACTCTGACAAGAGTTGTTAGACGAGGTTACCTTCATGATGTGTAGCATGTTTAACTTTGTAGAAGCTCGTCATTTCAACTACTAATTTTGAATCCTTATGCAGGTGCTGAAAGCACCGGAATAGAGGCCAATGGAAATTCCTACGATCTGAGCACAAAGTTGCTCCATCTCGCATGGCACCCATCCGAAAATTTAATTGCTTGTGCCGCTGCGAACAGCTTGTACATGTACTATGCATAAACAAGGAGGGGATAAGAAGAGCGACAGTATTTTTGGTAGCTGCTCCCGGTGAGAAGTGTTTTAACCCCTGGTGCAGCAGAGCAGGGAGTTGCTGGTAGTGGTGTTTTTTTTGGGCCGGTCACATGCTGTTCTTTTGAGTGCCATATAGAGCTGTCCAGAGTCCAAGAGGAAGTGACTCGATCATTCCCGGGAAGCAGCTTGATTCTGATTATTTTTTTTCGAGGGGAAAGGCCTGTCTTTCCCTTATAGGTTCATTTAGATTTAAAAGATAAGATTTCTAGTTCGACATTTGGAAGGAACAAGAACTGTTGGGAATCTGTGGTTAGATGATAAGGGGATGATCTTCCGTTGTATTCATGTTGAAATTATGGTCTTGTAACTTCAGGACAGAGGCACTGAAGCTTTTGATAATTTTGTTTTTACAAAAGTGATATTTCTTTCCTATGTGCCGTAGCTTTTCTTTCCTACCGAATGCCTGGGTAGCAGTCCGTCGTTATGCGACGTAATGCAAAATGGATGAGCATCAAAACCAGATGCAGACATGTGCCATCTTTTCTGCTCTCCCGACTTGTCTAAGCCCTTTATTTGCTTATGATTTGTATTAGTTTGGTCAATATAATTTTCACATTGTATGCTTCAAATCATTCTAGGAAAAATATACCGTCATGTCTTGACTCTTACACAAGTCTTGTGCAAATAAGTACTAGTACTACCTCTGGAAATGTTTTTTACTTGTGAGGGTACACTTTGACTTGCATATGACACACAGAAACACCACGCTCATGTCACACCACACGCGCACAGCAGACGAACGTCTTTTTTCGTCGCTTTCGCTTGTTTTGAGAGAAGCCCGTGGTTAGTACGCAATAATAAAAAAAAAAGAAGCTCATAGATAAGATAATCCGTACTAGCCCAAGTATCTCACTAGGCCTCGAATCCACACGGTCTCAAGTCAAGTGGTCATCAACCCACGATACCTCTAGCCCAAATATTTTACTGGGCCCCCTTTTCCCCCAAACTCAAGCTGAGCCGAACGCAACGGTCCATCGCCGAATGACATGTGGGACCCACCCACCAGTGTCACCCCCTCCCCGCCCCTTTCCATCTTCAAAAACCCCCCACGCCCCACGACCATTTCGAACTCCTCCCCCATTCCCCAACCAAACCCCTTCCCCTTCTCCCCTCACTCTGCTCCCCTCGAAACCTAGGGTTAGGGTTTCGGCCCCCCTCCTCCCCACCGGCTTCCGAATCCACCCGCCTCCGCCTCCCCCTCCCGCCATGGCCGCCGGCTCCATCGTGGTGGACTTCCCCTCCATGGGCGCCGCCTGCTGCTTCTCCAGCCTCGAGTCCCTCCTCCGCGACTCCACCTCCCGCTTCCTCGCCGCCGTCTCCGCCGCGCCCGACCCGGACCTCACCAACTTCCGCTCCCTCTTCTCCCGGGTGCTCAACACCTACCCGGACCCGCCGCTGGAGGCCGTCTGGTTCTTCTCCGCGCTCTCCTTCCACGACAACCCCGGCGACCTCCGCAGCCTCCTCCACCTCCTCTCCGCCTTCACCGCCTCCTCCCGCTCCGCCGCCAAGCCGCTCGCCCTCCTCGCCCCCGTCGTCTCCGAGCTCTACCACTCCGCCAAGCCCCGGAGGGAGGCCGAGGCCCTGGTCGAGGCCGTCCTCAGCTACATCAGCATCTGCAGCAGCCGCGCCGCCCCCGCCGCCGGCGATGGCGCCGGCGCCGGCGCCGACGCCGGGAGCCTGCTACCGGCCTTCGGCGAGCTGGTGAAGGTGTGGAGCGTGCGCCACTCGAGGGACAGGTGCCCGTTCCAGGTGCTCTTCCCTCTTGTCGGGGAGGACGCCAGGCGGGAGCTCATGAGGGAAGGCTGCAGCGTCGCCTTCCTCGCCGGGGCGGTGGTTGCCGAGGCGTTCCTGCTCAGGCTCTGCCTCAAGGTGCAGGGCGCGGCAGGCGCGTCACGCGCCGAGCTGCAGAAGGAGCTCAGGATCTGGGCAGTGAGCTCCATCTCGGTCTTCCAGAACCAGCAATTCTTCGGTAAGACTTGATATGATGCTACCTGTGTTTGTATCATGGTTTCTCTTAGGATTCAGGTGCAGTGACCCGATTGTGATGACCGTTGTGCTGATGGATTTCGCAGGGGTTCTGCTGAACATGCTCGTGAATCCTCCGCTACCTGTTTATTCACTACTGGTACGTGTTTCATGCTTAATGATTGATTTGAGGGATATAGTTAGTGTATGACTAGGCTAGCAACATAGGGGTAGTATGCACTAGCCTCTTAATGCATTTCGGCATCATGAACATTGTATTTCCACAGTATTGTCATTCCAATATGTATCACAAGAAGCCTAGGATTTGAAATTAACTTAATAAGCTCATGCCTTGAATTAACAAGCGGGTGTAAGCTCAGGTTTATCATTATCTGTTGTGTGTTTAGTTAATTAGCACAAATTACCTTTGTGAAATAAGAACTCTGCAACTTGTTCCTTTGTACTTCAATTGTGCTTGGACTCAGGAGTCTGTGTTAACTTGCGGAAATTAAAGAGGAGAACAGTATTAGGAATATTATGTTTCCCAATGCTGGTGTTACTGTACCATTATTGCTGTCGATGTATCCTCAAGGAGGCTGAATTGGGATGGAGTTCTATCTCATCTTTGGGATGAGCAAACAGGTTGAAGTCTGAACTGTGGATATTCTTACACCCTTTTATTCAATTGATAATATGATATTCACTAGGAATGACTATGCTGTGTTGTGAGAAGCTAGCAAACTTGATGTTGCCTGAACAAATATTATTCGTTATACTGTTTACTTGTAAGGAAATGCTGATCATGGCCATATTATTTACTCCCTAATTAATTAAGTTCACCAATATAATCATCATATATTGTTGCGAAACTAATTTATTTTGTATATCGCACTTGTTCTTATGTGTTCCTTGAGTAGATGACTACTTGATCAGTTTCCTTCATTTACTCTGGTAATATTTCATTTAGAAGAGTGAGCTGTTAGTTATTAGCCATCAAATGTGGGTTGTGACGATGCCATTGCTGGGATTTTGTGCCATCTTATTGATGCTGCATATTGGTTTCTTATGCATAATTCAGAGTGCTGATGATGAAATCTTGGTGAGAGATGTCCTTTATGATGCTCTGATTTTGGTGGATTATTCTTTCATTAACAAAGGAGCAGGAGTTGATCAAGCTGATAGCTCCCTTTTGCCCCTTTATGTGTCAAGATTGCTTATCACTCATGATGCCATCAATGACGCCAGGTGATAAAGTGTTTGTGTAACCGGAACTTAGCTGATGTTAGAAATTTCTCCTCATTCCATTTCCTTCTGACAGGAGCAAAGGTGATCAAGGAAGGGCGATGTCTTTCATGAATGCCTTCTTCACTTCAAACATCCCCACTTATTTTGCCAAGTGCGCTACTAGTCAAGTTGGCTTCAACCAACTCAGCAAACCAGCTGCTATCACACCTCAAGCTCTTCTCAGTATGTATTGATATAGCATGATTCACTTGATTTTCAGTAGAGTGGGTTGATGTTTTTATAGAGTAACTAATGAAATCCCTATATGTTTGCTTTTTGACAGAGTGGCTTGTAGATCTGGAAGATAAGGGCTTCAAAGTATTTGGAGAGAATGTTTCCAGGATTAGGGAGAGGCTGATGTATGACGAGGTCAAGAATGGTTACCAGAGCAGGATGACTCACTCAGATGCTGACCTTTTCTTCATTGACAAGCAGAGCGGTGGGGAGGTTATGGACACAAGAGCTGGTGAGGATGAAGAAGCTGTTGAGATGGAAACAGCAGACAATGCTTTTATGGCTGCTGCTCAGTCTATGAAGGCGATGGCTAATGGCATGAGGAAAAGGAAGGATTGCGGGGCTGAAGACGCAAATGTGGTCAAGTTTGTGAAGTACAAGGTTGAAGACAGCTCAGTGAAGGATTACTTCTTGTCGGCAAATAATGGTATGAGCAGTGGTAGTGAGGTAGAGAATCCACAGTCTGATGATGAGATGGAAGAAACTGATTGATGGATAGAGAGGAAACCATCCGCTAATGCTTACTTGGGAGAGTCTTTTGGCGAGTCTGGAGTTGGGACGATTGCTGTTGCTTCAGGTTCCCCTTCTGTAGGATGTCATGCAGCTTCTGTCTGGATGATGAATGAAGCGGGATTCTAGGATAATAATCTGCAACGCAGAGCCCGACCCCAGCCAGGCTTACCGATATAGTAGTAACTGCTTAGCTAACTTAGACTCGATGCATGATGCTACAAACTATATATCATGTTCTCTTCTATATGCAATAGAGACTTTAAAATGTAGATCTACTTTAAAGACTTCTGTAAGAGAAGAGTACCTTTTATGTTATCCCACGGAACATCTTTTAAGTTAGTGAAATCTTAGCATTTGTGTAGCTGTTACGATTAGTGTTTCTACATTGCAACATTGGCATGTTCTGTGTAGAGTTGCTATTTTCTGTGACGATCATGGTGAAGACGTGAAATATCGGTGGATTGTTCGGTAGGACGCTCGGGTGAAAATTGAGGTGTTGCATCACAAGTTACGTTTAGATGTTGTAGAGTAGTTGCTTGTGCCGTTTAGATGGGAATCATGTGATCCCTTTAAAGCATAAAATGTGAACTCCGTGAGTCAGAATTCAGTTGAGCGCCGTTTGTTACAACATACTAGGTTTTGTCATGACTCATGAACACGGTCTTCACTGCTCCACTTTCTCTGTCCCATAAAAATCTAACATAATACTTGATATTCCGTCCCATAAAAATCCAACATAATACTTGATATTGATATTTTTTGGGACGGAGGGAGTAATAGATAGATATTGTCATAACTCATGAACACTGTCTTCAATCAGATTTGTCATGACATATTTGTCTTTAGAGTAATAGATAGATATTGTCATGGCTCATGAATGCTGTCTTCAGTACATAGAAGAGATTCTTCTAAATTGCAATACGCCTTCCTGCAAGAGAGGCGTTCCTGTAAAAATACGCCTCCTCGGGAGATAGGCGTATTTGCCGTTCTCCGCGTCATCGGAGTGTCATTCTTGGCTGCTCCTTGCGGCAAGGTGAGGTGAGGCGAGCCATGGCTTCCCTCCCACTCCCTGCTCTTCACCACGAGCCCCTCCTCTCCCGCTCGCACCGCCGCCTTCCTCCCTCGCCACCGCCACCGCCACTCCCCTCTCGCCTCGCCGCGGCGCACCCCTCGGCCCCCTCTCCGTCTCCGCGCGACGATGAGCGCCTCCGACTCCGAGCCGAGGAGCTCCGGTCCTACGCCGCGGCACTCCAGGGCTGCGCCGCCAGCCGCGCGCTCCGCCGCGGGAAGGCCCTCCACGCGCGCCTGCTCCGGTCCGGGCCGCGCCCGGACGCGTTCCTGCACGACTCGCTGCTCAACATGTACTGCAAGTGCGGCCGCCTCGCGGACGCACGCAGCGTGTTCGACGGGATGCCGCACCGGGACGTCGTCGCCTGGACGGCCATGGTCTCCGCTATCACCGCGGCGGGAGATGCCGGTGCTGCCCTCCGGCTGTTCGCCGAGATGAGCGAGGAAGGGGTCGTCCCCAACGGGTTCGCGCTCGCCGCGGCGCTGAAGGCCTGCACGGTGGGCTCGGACCTGGGGTTTACGCCTCAGGTGCACGCTCAGGCGGTGAAGCTGGAAGGTTTGCTTGATCCATACGTCTCTTCTTCCTTGGTCGAGGCTTACGTGAGCTGTGGCGAGGTGGATGTTGCTGAGAGAGCCTTGTTGGACTCGCCGGTGAGAAGCGATGTGTCATGGAATGCTCTGCTCAATGAGTATGCTCGGGATGGTGACTACGCCAAGGTCATGCTTGTTTTTGATAAGCTGGTGGAATCTGGTGATGAGATAAGCAAGTATACTTTACCTACTGTTCTCAAGTGCTGCATGGAGCTCGGTCTTGCGAAATCTGGTCAGGCTGTGCATGGTTTGGTGATCAAGAGAGGGCTGGAAACAGATAGAGTGTTGAACAATTGCCTTATTGAGATGTATTCAAAGTGTCTGTCGGCTGAAGATGCCTATGAGGTCTTTGCCAGGATAGATGAACCAGATGTGGTGCATTGCAGTTTGATGATCTCTTGTTTCGATCGGCATGACATGGCTCCAGAAGCATTCGATATTTTCATGCAGATGTCAGACATGGGAGTCAAACCTAATCAATATACATTTGTCGGCTTAGCCATCGTTGCATCAAGAACTGGTGATGTGAACCTATGTCGCAGCATTCATGCACACATTGTGAAGAGTGGATTTTCTAGGACAAAAGGAGTGTGTGATGCCATTGTAGGTATGTATGTGAAAACTGGTGCTGTTCAAGATGCGATTCTCGCCTTTGATCTTATGCAGGGGCCTGACATAGCTTCTTGGAACACACTTCTCTCTGGATTTTATAGTGGAAACAACTGCGAGCATGGTTTGAGGATTTTCAAGGAGTTGATTTGTGAAGGTGTTTTAGCAAATAAATATACTTATGTAGGAATTTTGAGGTGTTGCACTAGCTTGATGGACTTGAGGTTTGGTTGTCAAGTTCATGCATGTGTTCTTAAAAGTGGGTTTCAAGGAGATTATGATGTTTCAAAAATGCTTCTTGACATGTATGTGCAAGCTGGGTGCTTTACAAATGCACGCTTGGTATTTGACCGACTGAAAGAAAGAGATGTGTTCTCATGGACAGTTGTTATGTCAACATATGCTAAAACTGATGAAGGTGAGAAGGCAATAGAATGCTTCCGCTCAATGTTGCGAGAAAACAAAAGGCCTAATGATGCCACATTAGCTACCTCGCTAAGTGTTTGTTCTGATTTGGCGTGCTTGGGCAGTGGCCTCCAGCTGCATTCATATACCATCAAATCAGGATGGAACAGTTCAGTTGTTTCCAGTGCTTTAGTTGACATGTATGTGAAGTGCGGGAACTTAGCAGATGCTGAGATGCTATTTGACGAGTCAGACACACATGACTTAGTTGAATGGAATACAATCATCTGTGGTTATGCTCAACATGGTCATGGGTATAAGGCATTGGAAGCCTTCCAAGAGATGATAGATGAGGGGAATGTACCTGATGAGATAACATTTGTGGGTGTCCTCTCAGCTTGTAGCCATGCAGGATTACTTGATGAGGGAAGGAGGTACTTCAAATTGCTGAGTAGTGTGTATGGAATTACTCCTACACTGGAACACTATGCTTGCATGGTTGATATTCTGGCCAAGGCTGGAAAACTAGCTGAGGCTGAATCTCTTATTAATGAGATGCCATTGACCCCAGATGCATCCTTATGGAAGACCATTCTTGGAGCATGTAGGATGCATGGAAACATTGAGATTGCTGAGCGAGCAGCAGAAAAATTGTTTGAGTCACAACCAGATGATATATCTTCTTGCATATTGTTGTCTAACATTTATGCGGATTTAAAAAGGTGGAATGATGTTGCTAAACTTAGGAGTATGCTAGTAGATCGTGGAGTAAAGAAGGAACCAGGGTGCAGCTGGATTGAAATCAATGGGAAGTTACATGTTTTCCTGTCACAAGATGGGTGCGCTAAATACTAAAATTTGAGTGGTGTATTTCACCCATCTTGGTCCTGCAATCTGAAATGTCAATGCAGTCACAGGCCAGAAAACCGGTTCCAGGTATTATCTAGTTCTGATGAATCTTTTTTAAGAGAATTATCATTGTACATGATGCGTGTTCAGTATCCAATCTACATAACTCTGCTAATTGGTGAACTGTTTTATCTGATTTAAACAGGCTAATCTTAGGGTAAACTATACTGCTGGAAACGTAGATTTGTCTGAAGACTTATATAGTTGCCCACTTAACTGGCAGTAACTCAGTAAGTCTCAATCCATATAGTTCAATCTCATGCTATCCTTCACTTTCAGCAAATCTATCTGTTAAATCATTGCATCCTTTTTATTACAGCACATATCAGGATAAATGCAGACTGAGGAGAGTTCCTTAGTCGAGGCATATGGAAATGGTAAGGCAATATTGCCTGCCATTGTGAGTAAAGAATTGGTTACAGATTAATGTGGCACACGAAGAGCCTGTCCTACTTCAGTGGATACTGGATTGCTCATATCACATTTATATTCAAATTGGGATGGTTGTGCAGGTGGGGTGATCAACTTGTTGACCAACTTAAGTAAGGTCTGTTCGAGTTCCTCGCCATTATTCCATGGATGAACCTCGGCCTTGAGAAGCTGTTTGTTGCTGCTGATGAGATTCCAGAGGGGGTATTTCTCCTTTGGCATGACATAGTCCCCTTCCCCTAGCTTAAGGGAGGGGCAATAATCTCCTCTGCCATCACCAATGTAGATGAAATGCCTTTTACCATTGGCCGTCGCCTGAATCCTCTCAATTATCTTGCCCTGCACATGATAAAGCTACACTTTAGCGGGGGACCATGCATGCTTTCCATTATTCATATCCCTCTTCATCTGAATAAATGCACTAAGATTTTAGCGCAAAGAAACTTTAATACTTATAATTGTTGAACAATGCAATATTCTTATTTGTTATGTGTAAGATTCAGATTGCATAATCCATCACACTCTTTGCTTTATCCATGATCTATCTATACTGTTTCTTTTGGACAGATGATGCTGTTTCTTTTGTCTCCATCAGCCACGTGCATCGGGGCGGACGCGCTAAAGGCTGACATGAAAAATGTGAACTGACCTGTCAATCTGCTGGTGTCCTACTGTCCATACCTTGCACATGTTCTCGGGGCAGAGGCTGCATCCATGGGGCGAGCTGTCGTCGGGGTCGTGGAACGGCGAGATCCTCAGCCTGCCGTTGCCGTCGACGCGCGCCGGGTTCGTGCTGATCTCCGAGAAGCATCCGAGGACGCCGTGGTGCTCCAGCACGGTCTCGATGAAGAAGGCGTTGGCGTCGCTCGCCACCCTCAAATCACACCTGCAACAAACAACACAACAGGTGGAACACAACCACCACCACCACCAAAGATTATCCATGGCGCCATCAGAGCTTTAGAGGTGGATGGATTGATCATTGATGGTGCGGTACCCTAATGCCGAGGCCGTGGTGATGGCGGAGAGGACGTGGGCGTCGAGGGGGGCGCTCTTGAGGCAGTCGCGGATGTCGTCGGCCGACCTCCCCTGGGCGTGCAGCTCCACCATCATCCTGTCCTGGAAGAAGCCACCCATCCTCGCAGGTTCAATCTATGCATGTTCTTGTGTTCTGTGTGTGTGTGCGCGCGCAGGGTGATCGTACCATGAGGGGGTTCCAGCGCATGGTGGGGCGGAGGCGGCGAAAGGCGTCGGAGGCGCCGAGCTTGGTGATGACCCAGTCGTCGCTGTCCCACTCGATGATGGTCCTGTCGAAGTCGAACACCACCACCACCCCGCCTCCGGCGGCGGCGGCGGCGGCCGTGTCGCCGTCAACGCCAGCGGCCATCTGAGCTGCTCCGACGGTGACCGGGGGAAGGCCGGAAGGGTCAAGATGGAGTCGCGGTCGCCAGACGAACGCACGGCGGCGCCTGACTGACGCCAACGTTTGCAAGCAAATTTCCTTTGTGACTTCTTTGGTGGCGTGGCGTCCGTGTCGGCTTTATATAGGCAAGGCCGCAAGGCACCCCGCACCCCGGTGGTGGTTGTTGGGCCGGTGGCGACTTGTTAGGGTTCTACTCTACGCGTCCACCACACCACCGCAATCCGCAATATGACCTGTCCTGTGCCGTGTTCTCCGTTTGCCCGCGCTGCCGTCTCCAGGCTGACTTGCCTGCCTCCCTCCTCCTTACACATGTTTGCTCTCTGATTCTGTATCCCATGGTACCATTAATTAGTAGATCGATCGTGGTCATCGATTTTTAGTACATCTGTTTAGCGATCATCTCTTTTATATTTAATCTATATAAAAGCCTACCTGGAACCGACAGGTATTGTCCGTCTATAGTAACTACACGTCAACCACTGCTACTACTGAGGATTGGAACTGGGAAGTGGGAATAGCCTCCATGGACCTATTAAATTGAGCATCAATATTCTTTGGAAGCTCTGAGTTTCTCGTTGTTGCTAGTGCTGTAGACATTATTTTTATGGTTTGACCGATAAGATGCAAAGGTCTACCTCTCCGTTCCAAAAAAAAATCAAACTCTAGGTTTAAATCAAAAGCCAGTAAAAATAACATTCATAGACATAGTATAGACATAACAAGCAAAGAGGCAAAAAAAAAAAAAAAAACTAAACTTAAACTTCATGTCACGATTACATGATAGTAGATGTCATGCATAAATTTGTGGTAAACACAATATCTAACGGAACTGTTTTTTTTCCCTTCGAGGAGACATCCCCTCGTTTTGTGCATGTCGTTCAAAAAATTATAAAAGTTTTCTAAAAAAAAATTATCAGGATAGATCAATATATGATATATCTTCTCGCAAACATGCGGGTTAAAATTCGATTTATACAATTCAAAACAAAAATAACAAATTTTACCGTGATTTACACGTTCTATTCATAGTCAAATTTGTTATTTTTGTTTCTACTTGTATAAGTTGAATTTGCATGTTTGTGAAGTGGCATATCACATATTGATCTACCCTACTATTTTTAAAAAAAATTTTGGATGACTTTTTAAGTGACATGCAGAAATGATGAGATATCCTCTTAAGGGATGAATTGAGTTTTCCATATCTAACACATACAAGCTTCTTACTAGCAGGGGCTAAGCATCTCGAACTCGCATAGACCTCAGCAGTTTATGTTACTAAGAGCAAGTTTAATAGTATAGCCAACTACTGGCTCCAAATCGTCTATAGTCAATTTAGTAGTCAATTCATACAATAGTTACCTATAAATATATACTATACACTATTAATATCTGGTCCCACCTATCATACACACATTATGTCTTGAAGCCCGTACTGCAGCTGACCACAAATCTGTAGCCCGCTGCTCATCTCTCTTCTTTCATCTCCTCCATATGTGTTTATAGCTGGCTTATAGCCTGCTATTGTACTTGCTCTAATGCTTCGGCACGCTTATCTCCAGTCCCTGCATCACGCGGTTGATCATGTCGAGGCCAGCCTCGAGTTGCATGACCACGCGCTTCTCCGCGAGCAGTTCCGGCGTGAAAAGCCCTTTCCACACTTCATACCAAGCCATCGCCTCATCTAGCCGAGGCCTCTCGCCCATTAGGTACCGATAGTTGGCGTACATCCATTTCTTGAAGAACCCTTGTATCAAAAGTGGCACCATGTACTTTACTGGCACGATGGATGCCCACCTCATAACAAGAGGGAAGAAGTTGTTGTTTTGTAGCCAAGTCATTCTTACCGAGATCTCGAGATCATGGAGAGCCTTCCTCATGTGAGGCAGCACATGCCGCTTGATGTGTTCGTCCCAGCTCATTGGATCGAACACCTTTTTCCATGGCAACGCAAGCCTGTAGTCGTAGTCAGAGATCCCGCCGCACAATCGATCTCTGAGCCGCCTGCTTATAATGATGTACACTATTCGTAGGCGGGCGTGGCCGAGATGAGGAATCCACATGCCCACGCAAACGCTCGGCTTACTCGACCACGTTGTCAGCCTAAACACGTCCGCCGCGGCTACCAGCTCCGGCAAGATGACCTCATCCAGTATGGAATCCATGGTGGCTTGCGGAAGGAGGCCCTTCCATCGATTGATGAACCGTAGCATCGGCTTCGGCTCCTCAGCCCTCCACCTCCACGCATCCAAGGGCGGCGCCATCACGAGATCGTGGATCAGGCGAGGGTACGCTGCCGACGTGTCAGCTCCTAGCATGTCCTTGAGCGCTTCTACCATGACAAGTGTACGGTTCAGCAACGGCTTCGTGCCTCCGTACTCACTTGCATTGTACTGTCGGCTCAGCTGCGAGTGGAGCAGCGGCGCTGCGAAGCTGATCGCCTTGTATGGCATACGGTTCGTCCTGTACTCCTCCGGGAACTTCGCCTTCACTCCCGCGAACTCGTGGATCAGGCCGCCCAACGTGAGCTTCCCCGACTCGCTCTGCCCCCGGACCACCTTCAAGGCGCGCTTGATCGCCGTGTACCCGGAGGTTATCCCCTCCCAGTCGTCGGCGGCGGCGGTGTCGTGTTTCGGTGGGCGTTGCCCACGCATGTTATAGGCCCGAACCTTCTCGTGGTGCCGCTCCCACGCCCGCGCGGCGGCATAGGCTTCGCGTTCTCTCTGTAGCGTGTCCATGGCACGGACCTCCTCGGCGTCGACGATGGCCTCTGGCTCTGCTTCGCCGGTGCCCCGCTCGAGCTCGGGCTCTGTAGGCGGCCCCATGTCATAATTCGAGTCGCTGTCGTACGGTGACTCGAATTTTCCAATGCCTCCTTTCCCATACTTTATGGTCGGCTTGATGGGATCGATAATCCCGTGGCCGTACTTGCCGAGGCCGGCGCCTTCCTCGTAGTTCATTTGAGCCATCAACCTCGCCACTATCTGGTTGGTCGCCAGGCTCCCGGGCTGCGGCGGCAACGGGGGATAGTAGGAAGTGCAGTAAGCGGGTGGGGAAAACAACGATAGACGATGGTGATCCGTGTCGCCGGAGCTCGCCCGCACAAAGTGGATGGTGGGCACGCATTTGCTTGCAACCGCCGTAGTTTCCTGCACGCCACTAGTCTCGGTGTTGGAGGAGGATGCATGAGGAGTGCCAAGATCCGGCGTTTCGCTTGTAGTACTCTCGCCATGGGGAAGACCACCACCTTGGTTTCTCCCCTCGTCGTCGACGGAGGCCATGGAAACAACCGTGTTACTCCCCTTGTCGCCTGTTGGACCGCCTCCCTGCCGCCGGTGTGACCGCCCGCCAGTTAGACCGCTGACTCGCCTCCGGTCAAACCGTCGGGATCGAAAAAAACACGTATCGACAGAACACTTGAAAGTAGATCAACTTTATTGCACCTAAAGCACTCCTATCTCAACTCACAAACTAGGACCTCAAGTAAACCCTAACTTTTCTCTCTCAAAAAAGTCAATTTCTTTGAACCTTAACTCCTCATCTATTTATAGACCCAAAACCTCCTTAAAAAAGTAGGAGTAGAACTCCTAGTTTCTCTGGACTCAATCTTCAATATCTAAATCCACATATAAAACTGCAGGCTCAACCGGCCACAATCCCAGTCGGACTCCACGGCACTCGATTTCCTTCGTCCTTCGCGGCATCGGACACATCCGCCTCGGAGCCGAGCACCCGCGTGGGCCGTTCCCTGCTGCTTCCTGGGCCGACTCGGCTTTGCCCACCAACCGAGCCGCTGCTGCTGCAGCACACGTGCAGCTACTGCTCCCAAAACAGCCATCACCACGCATTGCTCGCCACAGTACACATACATATATGCATGCTACAGTACCTCGCCGTACTGTAGTATCAGATACTCCTCTCCATTTTCTTTCAACTCCCGTCGCGAGCACCGACGCTTGCACACGTACCACGTGAAACCCGACCATGTGCCATCTTGTATCCAAGTTCGTCACTCGGTATCCTTAACCGTCTAGACCTCAACTCCTCCCTGAGTCTAATCCCGATCCCCACCGTTGACCAAATTTGTCCTTCAAGAATTCTGACTCTACTCACCTTCTCACATGGTATCCCGATCGCACTAGACCTCTGCTCCTCCCTGAGCATAGTTTCGGTCCTCAGTATTGACCAAGGCTAATCTCAAGTCACCTGCACATAATCAGATAAAACAACCGTTTCTAGATACAAATATCACAACCTGACCCACATTAGTCACACGCACTCACACCAACATCCACACATCTTTTCATTGATTAAATCATTTGTAAAGCCAATTATTCATCACAAAATATTAATCATCACAATGATTTCACAGAAAAGGCCATGGAAACAACCGTGTTGCTCCCCTCGTCACTGGATCACGGGTTTAGATCCCACCACAAAATTTTTTACCATGTCACATTGAACGTTTAAACACATGCATGCAGTATTAAATATAGGCTAAAAAATTACTAATTGCACATATTGTGACTAATTTGCGAGACGAATCTTTTAAGCTTAATTGCTCCATGATTTGATAATATTGTGCTACAATAAATATTTGCTAACGATGGATTAATTAGGCTTAATAAATTCGTCTCGTTTTGTTATTAAACAACATTTAATACTTTAAATGTTTATCTGTATATCCGATGTGATACCCAGAACAAAAACTTTTGGAAACTAAACCTGGCCTTAATACGAGCTACCACCTGAACTTCAGTAACTCCTATGACGTTAACGTTTGGTTCAGATCCTTTCACGTGAAGCGCAGTTATAATAATGGAAATCCGGCCCCTCTTGTAAATTGCTAAATAATGGAAATGCACTTATCTATTTTCCTTATAGGAATCAATTTCCTTCATATTCAGTTCTAAAATTTTTTCTAGTATTCTAGCACAGTTAGTTTGCCATGTTTAGCTCTCATTCTTAACAAGATAGATGCCCCGCACGGTTCATCTTGTAAACTACTCCCTCCGTATCCGTATTTTAATGTATGACGCCGTTGACTTTTCGACCAACGTTTGACTATTCGTTTTATTCAAAATTTTTGAAAAAATATGAAAATATTTATGTCATGCTTAAAGAACATTTGATGACAAATCAAGTCATAATAAAATAAATGATAATTATATAAATATTTTAGATAAGACGAATAGTCAAACGTTGGACAAAAAGTCAACGGCGTCATACATTAAAATATGGAGGGAGTAGATCTGTGTAATATAATCCAAGTTTTTCTCAGAACAACATTATCCAGGTTCAGCGTACTCTAATCGTTGCCATAATGAACTGAGAGCGCATCGCCAAGTAAGAACAGTTGTGAAGAGGAAAAAAATGTCATTGGGCCCATGACCAGTTTAGGATGTTTAAAGGGGGAATTACTAGATATATTAATACTACGACTATTAAAACCGGTACATAATAACTCCCTTAACTGTTTTCAAGGCGATTTTCACTCATGCTTGTTGAACTGGAGAGAACAGGGTGACAAGGGGGAGGAGCTCGGCAACGACTACGTTATGGAGACGATGAGGAGTTGAAGTGGAGAGAACAGGGTGACAAGGGGGAGGAGCTCGGCAACGACTATGGCAAGGGAGACCGGTGCGAGGGAATAACGCCGACGATGCCTATGAGGGAGTGACATGAGGAGTCGAAGTGGAGAGAACAGGGGTGCCCGAACCGAGGTGGAGAAGGGGGTGGCGGCGTAGCGGACTCCACGACTTACTTCCTGCTCTAGCTACTGCTTCAAGTAGTGTCTTCGCACGCAACATAAGTCTTTTCTGCACATTTTATCCTCACTCGTGTGCACTGGAAAGAATTTCCCGGTCGGTCACCCATCCCGCAATTGCTTCAGGCCAAGCATGCTTAACCTTAGAGTTCTTTGGAGATCGGCTTCTGAAAAAGAAGTTGCAATTAAGCTGTCACATCCTCACCCCCTTAAGAGATCGACGTCGTCAGTCAACCCCAAGCTAGGAATGTCTCCTCTTGGCCACGTCCATATGTCCAGTGCCAGCGCATGTACCATGCAGTGTGATCACTCCGAGTCCACACCAGCCATGCGCACTATGCCTGTGCAACTGCAACACACGCGCCCGTGAAACCGCGAGAGTCAACTCTGATACCATTATGTAACGTTCCGCCTCTTCTAGGCCGGACCCACTTACATCTGGCAGCTTTTCTTAGACATAGACTACCCTCACAGACCAACACGCACCCGTGAAACTGCGAGAGTAGGCTCTGATACCATTATGTAACGTCCCGCCTCTCCCAAGCCGGGCTTACTTACAACTGGCAGCTTTTCTTGGACATAGATGCCCTCACAGACCAACACAAGGTCTTTTCAGCACACCTTGTCCTCATTCGTGTGCACCCGGGAAGAATTTTCCGGTCAGTCACCCATCCTGAAATTGCTCCAGGCAAAGTTGCAACTTGTTGGTATGAGTATTCTATTAATCCTATTAAGCCCTGTGCCAGGATGTCACAACCTATCATGACGGCTCGTAGCAGTGATGCGCACAGAGTGGGACAAGGCACTAGAGGAGACCACGCGATTGAAGCACTCCGTTGCTGACCTAGAGCTGAAGCTCGTGTTTCTCGAGCCCTGCGTGCCCCCACTCCCACAACCGCTGCCTTCCTTGCCGAGTCCTTCCTCCGGGTGATCCCATGGTGTCCCCCGCCCTGTCGTATCCCTCTCCGTCATCTTCGTCAGCGTGCTCCCCTCTACCGCTGTTGTGTAAGCTCGAGGGAGGGGAGACAGCGAGCGAGACGGGAGTCAGCGAGTGCGGCCGTCGCAACATTGGGGAGATGGTGAGCGAGCTGGTTTCGAGGCGAGAGAGAAGTTGACGTTGCCGCTGCTGCTTGGAAATCTTGAGGCTCCTCGTTGTTGCCTACCGCCACCCCTGGCCTTGGCCTCCTCGTCGTCTTCCTCGTCTGCCAAACCAACGCCGGCTGGTCCTTCCTGTTGTCTTCCTCTCCCGCCTCCCCGCCGTGGCTAGGGCGAGACCGACAACACCTGTGTCGGACCTGAGTTCCCCACCGCTGTTCTCTCCCGCCTCCCCGCCTAGCTGATTCTGGCCATGCATGGCCATTGCCTCTCCCACCGACGATGTAGCCGCTGTCTCCGGCTCTTCTTCCGCCCGACGTCACCTTGGTTTTGTCGGTTTGCGCCATCGTCCTGACCAGCGGGAGAGAGTGGGGTGAAAGGGAAGGAAAAAGGAGAAGTGGTCACTGACCCATGGGTTCCACATATTATTTTTTTATTGTAATGCCATGTCAGATGACGAAGACTAAGTCAATGCGATATGTAGATGCCATTCAACGAAAATCACCTTCAAAACCACCGGGGGAGTTATTTTGCATCGGTTTTAATAATTGAGATATTATTTTTCAGTAAAAAAAAGGATATCTGATATTGCGTTGAGAGATACCAATCAGACTCGACCTATATTGGAGGGAGTCAACGTGGACTTATTGCTTACAAGGGTAGGCTTGCAGCCCATCTTTGAGTCCAAAATGGACTGGACTCACCCCGTCCTGGCCTGTGAACACGTTCGGCCTTGTCCCGTTGATTTTGTTAATATTTGGGACACTGAGATCCCATTAATATGATCTTAGTCACGAGCTGTGAAATGGTTAACCGTGCCTTCCAGCGTGCGCGCGGGTTCTCTCGCTCTTTTTTTTTTTCATTTAGAACTCATGACTTTTATTAATATTAACCATTTAGAAACATAGGACATGAGTTATTACACTCTCGTAAACGTAAGGAGAGAGGCTTTCCAACAAACTGACATTAGGGCAACTAGGAGTCTAGGATGATGACATAAACGAGAATTACTTTAACAGTAAGCTTAATTACCTTGTCGATATCTTCTTGCTTCTCCTGCCAATTTATCCTGTAATCATTTGTCTTCCTTGGTATCTACTACTTCCTCCGTTTCACAATGTAAGTCATTCTAGCATTTCTCACATTCATATTGATGTTAATGAATGTAAATAGATATATATGTCTAGATTCATTAATATCAATATGAATGTGAGAAATGTTAGAATGACTTACATTGTGAAACGAAGGGAATAGTATTTAACACAGCTAGTAGCTATAGGCCCTATTTAAAGAGTTCAAGGTTGTGAAAAACAACTACTCCCTTCATCCCATAGGGCAGTAAACATTTCGTACGACAAATCTGGATATGCGACATGTTCAAATTCATTATATTATAAACAACAAATTTGGATAAGAGAC